TTCATCAGTTCACAAATTTCCCCCCAAAATTGCCCCAATGTGCACTCATCTCCTTATATACAATACCGCTGGACTCCCATGTAGTTGACCGCGGTGAGTCCTGGACCCGGTGACTTAAACTCATGCCAGGTGCGTGTGCGTGCGTGCCCACCATCCTGAGAAGAGAATGGAGGAGAAGGGATTGCGGCGTGGCCATCCCTCCTGGGGGGTGATTTGTTGCTTTCTGTCTCTCTGTCTCTCTCTGTCTTTCTGGTGAGCACCTGAGCCCTATAGCAAAAACCTCTCCAAAAAAAGAAAGATAAGGGAAAAGGTTGCTACACTCCTTTATCACAGTACTTTCAGCGAGCAGACCCCCCTTAAAAGAGTCATCACTTTGAGTCATTTCTAAATATACTATTTCATACTTGATACTGCGGTGCAACCACTGGCCAGTTTTCAAAAATGATAAGAAACTACTTCAGCACTAACTCTGCGCTCTTACCTCTTCCAGAAAAAAATCTCCTTTAATGCCAGAACCACCTGCACTTCACAATTAGATAAAGGAACTACCACGGCAGGACCACTTAACACACAGTACTAGAATCCATAGTCACAGGCCCCACGGCTCCATAGTGATGTAAATACAAGCGTATACGTGTCTGTAACTGGTTGGGGTCTCATACGTACAACGTCCCTGATGATTGAAAACTCATGCACATGACATTGAGAAAACTCCTTTCTATAATCTGAGCCACTCACAAATACCATTCCCTTTAAAACTTCTCAGGAAATGAATGATAACATTGTATTTCTATTGTTTCCTTCCCCTTTAGGGAAACAGATGGAATGGTAGAAAGAGAACATACAATGAAATAGGAGATGTGGCTTGTAGTTTCTCACCATCTAGCCAAGTGAGTGGGTTAGCGACAGAGCTTCAGAGAAGAGGATTTCTAAGGTTCTTTTTACTTCCAAAATGATTTTGGCCTGCCTGCCCGAAGAATTGTCAAATGTGAAACGTCTTCGGATTCCTAATCCAAGTTCTATGCAATCGAATCTATTTAGACAGTCATTCATCAGTTCACAAATTTCCCCCCAAAATTGCCCCAATGTGCACTCATCTCCTTATATACAATACCAGCTGTCTTTTTCCCCTTCATATTGAGGAGGCCTCTCTCATTCTCCCTTCTGTCCAAGACAGTCCTATCCATTCACGTAGCCAACCCTATCAATAAGGCAGGGAGGGTCAGAAAATCTCAAATGTTGTTTTGTACCTGGATTCAAAAGCAGCATCTGCTATGTTTCTAGAACCATCTGTTGCCCATTTTGCCACGGAAAGGATGGGGCAGGCATCAGAAGTGGAGTGTCACAGGTCACACAATGGAATTATCCCCTTTCGGGGGCTGACGTATCCAGGCATATGCTCCATAGTCACCATAGCTAATGCCACCCCTCCCCCATCAAAGAGGTGATTTTTCTCAGAGACGGTACCTCTAAACTTTTGGTCAGGTCCAGTATTCTGTTGTTTTGGGGAGTTCTTTCATTCCCATTTGCCAAAATATAGGGATGTTAATATTTTGTACATCAGTCGCTAACTGAGATTTGACAAATCACTCATCTCTGGGTATCTCAGTTTTTACCTACAAAATAAAAAGGTTGAATTTAGTGATCTCTGAGGTTTCCTGTGCTCTAATGCTCCAAAATCTTATGATTCTTAAACCAATTAAAAATTGTCAATGAATTGGGACCAGCTGTTAGCGTAAAGGCTATGTCATTGGACTCCCATGTAGTCAACCGTGTTTCGAGTCCCGGACCCCAGTGGCTTAAACTCACACAGGGCGCGTGTGCGTGCGTGCCCAAGATCCTGAGAGGAAAATGAAGGAGAAGGCATTGCAGCGTGGTCATCCCCCCTGGGGGGTGATTTCTCACTTTCTATCTCTCTGTCTCTCTCTGTCTGTCTGGCGAGCGCACGCGCCCTACAGCAAAAACCTCTCCAAAAAAAAAAAATTGTCAATGAATGCAAGTTCCTTCACCTCTATCATATATTAAGACTCTTAATGGCCAAGGGCATAAGAATTTGCTGCAGACAAAAAAGGCTTCTATGACATAGTTCCTATGTGTTGAGCAAGAACACTGTTAAACAAGTTTCTTGAGGAACCAGATTAGATTACATTTCCTAATCATGTTAATATATGCCCCTGAGGTGATACTCTAGTGCAGGGTTTGGTACTGTATAATTCCTATTCAACAGCATCCAAGGCTTCTACTCACTAAAAGCCAGAAGCATTCCCTGTCCCTTGCTGTGACAGCCAAACAACCATTGCCAATCATCCCGGGGGATGAAATCCCTCCCAATCCTCCCATTGAGAACCACTGCTCTAATACACACCAGAGCTTGAAGAACACATCACTTTGAGGGTGTTTTTTGTTTCCAGTGGGTGACGTTTACACAATTAACAATGAATGAACACCAAAACTTAGCGCACTGTCAGATTTAGAAAGCACAGGTATTCCACCTGGGAGATATACAAAGCCGCTGTCCAAGTATCCAAGGCACACCCTCCTTGCTTAGGGCTGAAAATCAGCCTACAAAACCATAACCTCAACTGATCTCGGCAAGTATTTTGTAGGAATCTCGTTTTTCACAGTGATGCTTCCAGCGTACTGCGCCCGCAACCCTTGCTCAGAGACCTCAAAACAAAGCTTGGAAGAAAACAGCAAACGCCAGAGGTTTAACCACTTTAGCTTTTTCTTTCCTCTTTCCCACAAAACGACAAACGGTTAATAAAATGTTTCTGGAAAGGTTGCTTAAGAGTCCTGGCTTTGGTTAGAGGTCTTTTTAAAATATAATTATTTATTTTTATTTTATTTATTCACTGATTTATTTGTTAATTTACCAGAGACAGACAGAGGTTGAGAGTGAGAGAGAGAAGGAAGTGAGAAAGCAAGCCACCAGATTCAGGACTTGAACCCTGGTCAACATGTGGGAGTGTCCAGCGCCTTAACCACCATGCCACACCACCTGTCTTGAAGAGAGGAGTGAGTCTGCTTTTAGCCCCGTTTCTCAAGTAGCTATCTTTTCCTCCCCCACTTCAAACAGGGATCCAAAAGACACCCCCTGCAGTCAGGCTCAGTCCCCAAAGAGCAACAGCCAGGGCCATGAAACAGATGGAAGCCTGCAAGTTGACTAAAATGAGGACCCTAACCAAACATCTCAGTGTTCCACTTGTGAGAAGCTGGGACTTGCAAATCTCTAGGTGTCCCAAGGTGAAAGCTACATTAGTTTACTAGCAGCAAGAACTCCCCCATGCTATTAAAGGAAAACCAGTTACAAACTTTGTGGAGACTTCACAGGGTTTCTTATGTACATCTAATGTTTAAACTTCCACACAGAATCTATAAGGCAAAAGAAGAAGTTTAAATTACGAAGTTGAGGATATGAAAAGGGAGCCATGAATAGACACAACTATTACTTTAAAGAGAACCTGAGCTCTTCATTCAAACAAATATTTACACAATCGAGGGTGACGGCAGGAGGGATATAGCCATTCTGCTAAAACAGTGAGCAATCTGAAGGTTTATTTACCCCCAATCCCACCACTCTGTTGCTATCCTACCAGGGACCAAGAATTCAAGTACTTACAAGGCAAAAGTTTAACCCTCCAAAAGTGTGAACCTCTTTTAGACGTTCCGGGTTGTATTCAGATGTTAGAATCCCAGAGACATATCTGAAATATCCAAGTTAAACTAAACTATCAAGCTTAAAGTTACATTCCAGTACTTGGGAATCTACGTCTGTAATTTACATATTCATATAATGCAGGAAAAGGGGCCTGACAAATATTTATTCTAAAAGGATTCCACATTTTACGCCTGTAGGTCTGCTCCCAGCTGTGCCTGACCACGTGACTAGCGATGCATTTGAGACCTCTGGAGAGCTGCTTCAGAGGTGCAGAAAGACTTCTAGGGAAGAGGGCAGGGCCCACAGGGAGGATTCCCAGCCCTGGTCAAGTCTGCTAACCTAAAAGCGTGCGTGTTTCCCTCTTTCAGTTCAGAAAGGTAAATGCGCAGCTGCTGGAAGTAGGTTCGACTTCCGAAGCTCTTTCAAACAGGAAACCCCAACCCTGGGAGGGACAGCCTGTCAGCCTTTTAATTTCCTGGCGGTGGCGGGAGTTAGCCAGGTCCCCGGCGCTTGAATAAGTGATGACTACGCGTGCTAAGTTATTAACCAGACCAGCAAACATTCCAGCTGCGCCTCCGCCGGGAAGGGCGCTGGTGAAACCGGGGGTCAAAACTTTCCCCGAGGCTGCCTGCCGCTATCTCCAGCGAGGACTCGATCACACCATACAATTTTAGGGGATCCAAGGCCAGAGCCTCGCTCTTAAAGCAGAACTAGAATATTATAGAAGAGCAGCTCGTTAGCTATTTGGGGGGCCACAGGAGGTTCTTCTCTGAATCCCTCGTCCCACACCATCCAGCCGCGGACCTTTTCTTTGCGGAGGGTCTTGTCCTAAGGATCCCAATCCTGCTCTCCTTAAGCATTCCAGAGTAGTTGGGAAAAGTTGCTCCCTGTCCCCTTAACCCTCCCCGTTCCCTATTGCCACTCTGGGAGCATCTCCCCTAACCCGACACTCCCTCTCCAGGATCCCCTCAACTGGAGGTCCACCCCGGTCTTTGGAGTCATGCACAGTGGGGTTCCGGGCCCCCCGAAGCTGCAGAGTCGGGGCTGCGCCGACGTCAGCCCGGGCTTTTGTCCCTACAGCCTGCCGGAGAAGAAAAGAAAGGCTGCCCCGGAGCGCACTCACCGTCTCATCTTCGCTC